AGGTTTTCTGTCTCTTTCCAGAATCCAGAAAGTTTGGGGCATTCCCACCACATGTGAAGGTATGTACCTCGGGCTCCGCATCCCCTCCAGCAATCATCGGTGTCCGTTTTGTGCATCTTATAAAGTTTTATTGGGGTTGTGTACCACCTAAACATGGTCTTCCATGTCTGTTCTTGTAGCGTAACACATATGGAGGCGTTTTTATTTGCTTCCCAAATTTCTTGCCATTCTACGCCTTCTAGTTCTTCTCCTAGTTCTATCTCCCATTGGTCGGTGTAAGATAGCCTCCCCCATTCTTTGGTTTCTGCGCTAAGGTGGGCGTACATTAGGGTTATCATACCCTTGGGGGTCCTTTCGTGAAGGCATAGTTTCTCGTAGAACGTCATATGTCCTTGAGCTGCAGCCTTTATGTGTGATTTCCTAGCGAAGTCTCGAATCTGTATATATCTGAAGAAATCCGCGGGAGTTAGGTGGTTGTCTTGTTGAAGGTCCGTAAATTGGATTAAGTTCCCATTATGATATAATTGATGGATCCGTTGTAGACCCGTTCTCTCCAAGTTTCGGAAATCTTTAGGAGCCATACCGGGTTGGAACTCTCTATTTCTTAGAATTGGGGTCAATGGAGAGGGGGAGGTCGCTAGTCCATACTTGGTTCTATTTTTGTCCCAGATTTGGAGCGAATTAAGTATGGACGGGCAAGTCACCCGTATCAAGGGTCGGTGGTCTTTCGGGATCCACATAGTGAACTGGGGGATGTCCCATCCCACCATCATGGATTCTATTTCGACCCATCTCCGCTCTTCCGGAGGGGAATGCCACATAGCTATCTGTGTTAGTTGGGCTGCAAGATAATAGAAGTATAGGTTTGGGAGGCCCAGTCCCCCTCTTTCTTTTCGTCTGTAGAGAATCTGTCTTGATATCCTGTGCCTCTTGTTCTGCCATATGAAGTCAGCTATCGACCGTTGAAGTGGGTTCAGTTGTGCTTTGGTGACGTGGATTGGGAGAGCTTGGAATAAGAATAAAATCCTCGGGAGGACGTTCATTTTAACAGAGTTAATCCGTCCTATCCAGGAGATAGGCTTATCCGTCCACCTTTCTAAGTCTCCTATCAACTTCCTAATTAGGGGGCCATAGTTCTCGGAATAGAGGCGTGTCGGGTCCGTAGTTAGGTGTATACCCAGGTATTTCATAGACTCTCTTTCCATCCTGATACGGTAGGTCAGTTGTATGTGATTTATGTCTGCCTCAGTCATGCCAATTGGCATAGCGCTAGATTTTTGCATATTGGCCTTATAACCAGACCATTCCCCGTAGTCCTTGATAACGTCTTGGAGGGCCGACATGGACGTCGAGGGGTTCGTGATGGTCAACAGAACGTCGTCTGCGTATGCTGAGACTGTAAACTTTTTGTCCCCTACCCGGACTCCTCCAATATCTGGATGTTGTCTGATCGCTTGCATCAAAGGCTCCAGTGCTAGTACAAACAGGAGTGGGGAAAGTGGGCACCCCTGCCTAGTGCCATTGTAGAGCCGAAAAGGTGTCATCGGGGCACCAGTGAGCTGTATCTGTGCTCTCACCTCATGGTACATTGCTTTTGTAGTAGTTATGAATTCTTTCGGGAACCCCAGGTGGTTCAGGACCGAAAAGAGGAATTGCCATCTCACTCTGTCAAAGGCCTTTTCTGCATCTATAGAGACCACTAGGGTAGGGATTTTAGATGTCACTTGTTTCCAGATTAGGTCAATATTCCTTCTAGTATTCTCGAACAGCTGTCTGCCCTGAATAAAGCCTACTTGGTCGGCATGTACGAGTGAGTTTAGTAGCGGATTTAATCTGTCTGCTTGTATTTTTGCTATTATTTTTAGATCTTGGTTAATCAATGATATGGGTCTGTAGTTTCCTGGTTGGAGCGTGTCTTTGTCAGGTTTAGGTATCAGTACTATGGTAGCTAGGGTCATGTCTGGAGGGAGAAGTCCTCCCTGTTTCATGTAGTCAAAGAGTTTCATTAGTTGGGGTGTAAGTTCTTCTTTGAAGGTTTTATAGTATGTACCTTCGAACCCATCCGGGCCTGGAGCTTTGTTACCTTTCAAGGTAGATATGGCTCTGTATACTTCTTCCTCTGTAATTTCGGCTGACAGGTTGTTCACCGCGTCTCTCCCTAGTTTGGGCAGGCCGAGGTTATTTAAGTAGCTGTTAATATGGTCTTCTTCACTTCCGTCAGGAGTGTGTGCGTCTGGTGTGTGGTTGTACAGTTTTTTGTAAAAGTCTTCAAAGACTTTGGCTATCTCGTCGGGCTTTGATTTCGTCGTTCCATCCGGATGTTTGATGGCCGTGATGTGGGATCGTTCTTGTCTAGGTCGCAGTGTTCGGGCTAGAAGTGAGTCCGTCTTATTGGATTTCTCGTAATAAGTCCGTTTCGTCCATATCATGGATTGAGCGGTATCGTCCAGTAGGAGTGTGCGGATGTCCCTCCGAGCCGCTACCAGTTTCTTATAGATCTCATTGTCGGGTGTTGCTTGATGTTTTTGTTCAAGATTCCTTAATTGATCTAACAGGGTCTCCAGTTGCTTATGTTTCATTTTCTTTTTCTTAGTGGCTAGTTTTATAAGGGTCCCTCTTATAACCACTTTATGGGCCGCCCATATCGACCCTGCGCTAACATCCGGGGTATTATTTGTGGTAAAATATTCCAGTATTTCAGTCCGTATCTGTTCTTTGAGCTCCGGGTCTCTTAGTAGCGATGTGTTTAATCTCCACGTCCACGGCGAGGCCAAACACAAGTTGCCCAATATAATGGACACGTCCGCATGGTCCGACCATGATATATTGCCAATCGCAGAGCTTGTAATCCTGGGCATGCCTGTCGCGTTAGTTAGGAATAAGTCTATCCTGGAGTATGTGCCATGAGGTGTTGAGTAAAAGGAGTAATCCCTGTCTCCTGGGTGGTGTGCTCGCCATACATCTGTTAGGCCCATATCTAGTATAAAGTTTTTGAGCAGTCGGTCTTGTCCACCCCTTCCATGGGATCTCGGTGTTCCGTCTTTAGTGCTCCTGTCCGCTGCCGGGCATGGGGTGGCGTTGAAATCTCCTCCCATATAGACCATGCCATGTGGAAGTAAGGAGATTTTCTCTCGGAGGGTGGTCCAGAACGAGGGGTCTGGTTGGTTAGGGGCATACACGTTAATCAGGTGTATGGTATGTGAGTACAAGGTGCCCGATACTATAATGTATCGGCCGTTTGGGTCTGTTTCTTGGTTCGTCTTGCGAAACGGGCAGCTGTTCCTGATCAGAATAGCTACTCCGTTGCGTTTGCATTGTGATCTTGCTTCGCATGATCCTCGAAAGATATGGTCTTTTAGGTTTATATTGGCGTGTTTCGAGAGGTGGGTTTCCTGGATATAGGCGATATCCGTCTTCAGTCTCTTCAGTTCCTTAAACATAAGGCGGCGCTTCTTAGGAGCATTAATTCCTTTAACATTCAATGACGTGATTTTAATCATCGCGACGTGTTTGGTTCGGTCTTTTATAGCCTTTCGGGAATCTGGGTCCTTCTACGCCTGACTCAGTGTCATGTCCTGTGCCTCCCCGGGCACCCTCCCGCCTCCGTCGCTCCTCCAGGTCGCACCACACAAAAGAAGGAGGGAAAAGATAGAATAGTAAAGAAGAAGAAGAAGAAAGACATCCGAGTCGAGTCAGATGAAGAGATGTAGTAACTCTGGTCTTACTCTTTGCCAGGGTTTTTCTGGGAGCATGTTCCTTCATCCCGTCCACGATCAACGTAAGAAGGGATTAGGGATATGTGGGTTCCATCACGCGTGCGCCTACACAATTTGATTTGACCTCTTAATTCTCTTATCCGAGGTAGTATGTAACTAGGGATTTGTCCTGTCGGTTCCCCTCTATCAGTCTTTCCCGGGTATTAATGTGAGGGTGTTTGGGGGGTGCGATCAGCAGGGTTCCTCCCGCCCTTGATCCCCGTCTCCTCGCCCCGTATCCCCCCCTCCTTTCAATGTGGGACTCTCCAGTTCCTACGCTATCTCGCAGGCGTTCAGTTAATGAGATCGTGTTGTAATTGTCTGGTGTCTCTTCCCAAGGTGTTTATCCGTCCGCCACTCTTTCCTCCTCTATGTGGTTAGGTGTAAAGATATATGTGTACAGGAAGTGCTACCCTGACCGTTACCATCCTACGTGTCTATTGTGTGATGTTGGTGTTCGTGGGATCACGGGTTGGTGATGTCATTATGATCATGCATAGGAGGGTATAACCAATTTGTCTCGGTTCCTATCGGGAGTATTTCCATGTAGGGGGGGTCGCTAGGTGGGTGGTTAGGAGGACAGGCTCAGAGGGGACCGAAGTCAGATTCATCGTCTTAGTGGTATTAGAAGATAACTATTTATATATATATATTTATTGTTTTTTTTATTTATTTATTTTTTTTTTTTATTTTATTTATTTATTTATTTATTTTTATTTTTTGTGTTTTTCCTTTCCCTCCTCTTTTCCTTTTTCTTTTGGGGTGTGTGTGTGAAATTTTGTGGGAGTACGGCCACCCCTCTTTCTCTGCTATACGTATGTAGTAAACGGGGTGATAGATGTTGGGAGCCTGCCACTATATAGAGGAATCATGGTGTCGCGGGAGAAGGATCTCTGAGGAAAGCCACGGGACGGGGGGAGAGTGTCGAGATCATTACAGCGGTAGGGTTGTACATAGGACTAAAGAATGGTCCCCTACATGGGCATGAGTCTGTGGTGGTCATAGCTTGGGTGGAGTATAGGTAACCAATACGATTTTCGTCTCTATCTAGTGCACCCAATCATAACATTACATATGTATAAAACATCAAAAACACTTCTTTCCCCCCTCTCCCCCCTTTTTTTTTTTTTTTTCCCTCCCCCCCCCCTCCCCCCCTCGTACAGCAGGTAGAGGATCATGAATAGTAACAGCGTTCAGAATATAAGGAGACATGCAATATTACTGTAGCTTAGGGAAATAGTGGTGATATGATGCAGGCCTGCACGTCAAAAAATTAGGTGGGTCCGGGTTCCGCAAGGCCTGGGTGTCAGTGAACCTCCACCTTGGTAAAAGTCTCGTGGGCCTCCACAGCCTGCGGGATCAGTTGTCAGGTTGAGTCCTGTAAAGGGCTGCGTGAGGCCTAGTGCGGTACCCCCCTCACCCCTCCCAAGGCAAGTTGCAAGGGGGCTAGATCCACTCCCGTATTAGCCTCCTCGACAATTTAGAGTAGGCCACTGACATGCAACATAGGGTAACATAATATTGCGGCTTGTCTGGAGCCTACAATGAAAACAGGAATGGAGGCCTGGCTGAAAAGGGGGGCAAGACAGGGCAGGTTTCGATGTAAGTCCTCTGAGCGTTCCAGTCAGAGTACGAAAAAGGGGGGATAGTGTCGGCCTTCATGCCAGCGAGGGGAAAGCCCTCGAAACCCCCCCAGAAGGATGCCATGTGTAGCTCTGGGGGGGGGGTGGAGGGGTGCAAAGCGATAGTTTAAAACTGATCAGTCTCCGTGGAGTGTGAGGTGGGGTTTAAGGCGGTGGATGGTGTTGTGTAATGTATGTATTATACGATACCCATAGGTCTTCAGCGATGGCCTCTAGCTCCGACTTCTTGCCACTCTGTCTGTAGTTGTTTAAGTTCGGTAGGATACAGAGAGATATCTGGAAGTCGGGGGGGTGGTTGTAGACCGAGATTCCTAAAGAATCGTTGGGAATCCCCTCCCGGCATCAGGATATGTGAGCGGTCTCCCCGGAACACCATCAGCTTGAAGGGGAATCCCCAGGCATATTTCAGGCCTGCGTCTCGTAGGGCTGTTGTGATAGGCCTCCACTCCCGTCGTCTTTGAAGTGTCGACGGTGCCAGATCCTGGTATAAGGATAGTGTGGCCCCTGCGTACCGTAACGGTGCATCCCGGCTTTTCCCCATCAGCGCTTCCTTCGTGCTATAGTATAGGAAGCGGACGATTACGTCCCGCGGGGTGTTGGTGTCGATCTTTTGAGGTCTCAGGGCTCTATGTGCCCTTTCCATGTGCCACTGTTCCTCCGATAAGGCGGGCAGGAGAGGCTTTAGAGCGGATAGTAGTATCCCCTTCAAATCTTCATCTTTCTCCTCGGGGAGACCCCGAATGCGGAGGTTATTTCTCCGTGACCGGTTGGCCATGTCTTCCAATGTTAGGTCGGTTTCTACCAGGTGTGATGTCATACGATTTACTCGGTCAATAAGCGAGTTGTGGGCTAGCGTAGTGGTTTCCATACGCTCCTCCAAGATGGCCGTGCGTTTTCCCAGGGCCCCTATCTCCGCTTGGAGAATTGCCGTCGAGTTGGCTATTTCTCCTCACACAGACTTCTGAATGAGCAGTTGTGAGATGTCTTCGATGCGGATTCAAAATGATCTTCATGTGGGAAAATATTTGCTCACAGATGTATGTTGACCCAAAGTTTGAAAGCAAAGCCACTGTGCTCCATAAAGTCCATTAATTCCAGGATCAACGCCGCCATCTACCAGGAGATTTTGGAGCACTTCATGCTTCCTTCCACAGACGAGCTTTATGGGGATGCTGACTTTATTTTCCAGCAGGACTTGGCACCTGGCCACACTGCCAAAAGCACCAAAGCCTGGTTCAATGACCGTGGGATTACTGTGCTTGATTGGCCAGCAAACTCGCCTGACCTGAGCATTGCCAAGAGAAAGATGAGAGACATGAGACCAAACAATGCAGAAGAGCTGAAGGCCGCTGTTGAAGCATCCTGGTCTTCCATAACATCTCAGCAGTGCCACAGACTAATAGCTTCCATGCCAAGCTGCATTGAGGCAGTAATTGCT